ACTAAAGAAATTTGAAAATATCACCTTTATCATATGATTTTAATTAACTAAATCACTTCATATCATGTGATTTATTAATATTAGAAGAAGAGTAAAAATTTACCTTGAGATAAATAGCGAAGCTATTTATCGAATAAAATATGAGACTTGTCTCATATTGATTTGAGATTGAACTCAAAGAGTTTAATCGAATGAGATTTGAAACAACGTTTCATATCGATCGAAAGCGTGGAGAAACGTAAAATGAAATACTATGTATTGAAGTATTTCGTTATAACCCCCGAGAGTGTAACACAAAGTAGTGGAAAAAATCGGGCCAAGTTTCCCCACGCTTTCGTATGAATATATAAAAATATAAAAGTAAAGATCTTTGTAGTTGTAAACTTATTGTATAAGGTAGAGATTTTGGGGGATTTTGTGTGTAACGATGAAAAATTAACACACCAGAAAGAATTTTATAGTAAAAAAAAAAAAATATACTAATATAAGAAAAAAATTGAAAAAAAGATCTGCGAAAAATAAAGAATTTGGGTAATTTTTGATGCGCAGCAAGGAAGAGATTTTGGTAAATTTATAATTAAAAAATGTCCAAAATCTCGTTTTTATTAATTGAAATAGTGTGATATAATTTTTAATCACAATGTTAACACACCAATTTTTTTCCTTTAAAATTTGATTAATAATTTAAAAAATTTTATTAATAATATATAATTTGATAAATAAAGAGTGATAAAAAAATAGTAATTAAAAAGATGCCAGAAGGAGATGATTTTTTACATATTTGTTATACATCATATCATTGTTATGAGTGTAGAGATAAATTTAAATGTAAACAAAGAAAAAAGGAATTTGCAAAGGATGAGAGAGAAAGATTGAATAAAGAAGATAAAATTCCTATTTGTAGATTGTGTAATATGAAACATTTTAGATGTAAAGGAAAGAAGTGTGATATGTGTTGTAAGAGAAACGCATGTGATTCATATCCTTGTAAATATTGTGTAGAAAATGAATTAGAATGTAAGTATACTATTATACAAGATTTGAAAGAATTTAATATGTTTAATAAATTTGATTTGAGTGCGTACGTTGCTCAACTTGAAAAAACTAAAGAGGGAAAAGTTCATGTTCAGGCTTATTGTCAGTTTAAGAAAAAAAAAAGAAAAACAAAAAAAAAGATAAGGGAAATGTTTAAAGATTATACTATTTGGATTCCAGATAAAAAAATGAGAGGTAATTCAGATGAGAATATAGAATATGTATCAAAAAAATATAATCGATGTGAAATACATAAGAAAAAAAAATGTAGATGTGATTATTCTGATGTTAATGATAGATGTGAAGTATGTAACGATAATTGTCCTGAGAGAACAAAAGTTAGGATTGATGGATTTGAACCTTGTAAATTTGGAGATTTTCGTTATTTTAATGTGGATGGAGAAAATGAAAATGATGATAATGACAATAATAATATCGATTATAGTTCTGAATTAGCAAAAAAAAAATATGAAGAATTTGTTGCGATAATTGAAGGAAACGAAATGTTAAATAATGGAGCTACAGCATTGGAAGTTTTTAGACATAATAAAGATAGGGTTTCTTATTCAGGTAATTATTCGAATATGGGTGTTATTAGTAAAGATATTAAAGAAGATATAAAAAAAAAAAGAGGACATAGATTTTGGCATCCTATAGTAATTCTTTTGTATGGGGATGGTGGAAGTGGTAAGACAGGTTTAGTATTTGAATTATTTCGTGATTTTGGGTTATTTTCAAAAGATAAAAAAACAAGAGGAGGTTCGAGTTGGTGGAATGGATATGAAGGACAATTAATTGTAGTTATTGATGAATTTTATACGAAGATTGATTGGAATGATATGATTAATTTATTTAATGATTGTGAATGTAATGTTGATGTAAAATATGGGAAACCTGAACCATTTATTCCATTTATTATTATTATAACAAGTCCAAAACCACCAGAAGAATGTTATAATTTTGGTCAAGATGGTAGAGAGGAAGATTCGAATAAACGTAATTTTAGACAATTCGCAAGAAGATTAAATTTTGTTGCAGAAATTTCTGGTGTTTGGGATGATGATATAGAAAAAAGAACTACTAATATTTCTTTTAGGAAATCACCATTGGATGATGTTTATTGGGGAAGTGAAGAGGAATTTAGATCTATGAATTAGGATATCAAACTTAGAAGAGGTATATACACGATTGATGAGATTGTTGAAAAAGCAGAAATGTTTACTGAAAATATTGAAGGTGAATATTTTGATGTTGATGGAATAGTTTATTGGAGGCGAAAATTTCCAGATTATTTGAAAAGATATTTAGCAGATTATCCAAAATGTAAAGATATGAGTTATTATTATAATATATCAAAAAAAAGATGAGGAAGTAGAGAAATAGATGAAATTAATAATAACAATAGTAAAAAAAGTAGATTAGATAATAATAATATTAATAATATAAACGAAATTGATAATAGTGATATTGATAGTGATAATAATAGTAATAATAATAATGATTTAATAGACATAGAATAAAATAATTAATAATTAATATAAAGTTATAAAAGTTTAATTTTTTTTTAGAACTTATTTTAAAAAATGTCAGAATTTAAGAAACCAATTTTTATTTTTGCTTACGGAGAAACTGCTTCAGGAAAAACATTAAAATGTCGTGATTTATTTAAATCAAAATATATTGCGGTTAATACAGAGAAAACATTTTTAAGACCTAAATACCTTAAGATACGTAATATAAAAGTGATTAATGCTATGATACATCCTTATTTTATGAAAATAGGAGAATCATATTTTAATAAATTTAATGGTGAATATATTAAATTTGTGTATCTTGAAACAGTTCATTCTATGGAGTTTTTTAATAAAGAATTATTTGATAAAAATATCGATTATATTATTAAATTTAATGGAAAATATGATATTAAACAAGGAAAAGTTTTGTATCAAGAAAATGAAAAAAACTATGAATTTGAAAGAGGTAATGAGGAAAGTTTAAAAGAGTTAATTAGAAAAGAATTTAGTAAATGAATATTTTTAATTAAATTTTGTATTTGATATATTATTAATTAAATTTTATTGTTATTATTAATAATAATATATAAATATATCTTATTCGAAATTATCTTATATAAGATATTTACAAATAAATATAAATTTTAAAAAGATAAAGAAAACATGAATCAAGAAACAAATAATTTAAAAGATATTGTTTCATCGGAAAAAGTTTATACTTTTAATAGTTCTGAAGATATTGAAAATAATAGAAAAAGAAGAGTTATTATTGAAAAAGAACATAATAAGAATTGGAAACCTTTGGTGTTTTATGTTTTTGGTCGTCCTGGAACTGGAAAGACAAATTTTGTGAGAAAATTATTTGAGAAAGAATTATATGATAAACCTTAGATGAAAAAAAACAGAAATACTTAGTGGAGTTTTTATGATAAACAAGAGGTTGTTTTGGTAGATGAGTTTCAAGCAAAAGTTGATTATGAAGAATTGATTCATGTATTGGATAAAATTGATTCAGAAGTTGAAGAAAGTCAAGGTAAATTTGTACCTTTTCTTGCAAAATATGTATTTTTGATAAGTAGTAAATCGTTATATAAATTATATGAATCTGATGATCTGTTTGAAGATTTATATGATGATTATTATCGATTAATCGATTATGTTATTGAATTTGATATTGGAGGAAAAATTAAAATTCATAAGGGTGATAAAGAAAAATTTTTTAATATGGAATGGGATGTTGAATTTGATAATGGTACATATACTAATGAGGAGACTATTGAAAAGGGAGAGAATTTTACAAAGAGTATGGATGGTGAATATTTTGTTAGGGATAAAAAAGTTTATTGGAGACGTAATTTTTCAAATGATAAAAAAGAAATTTTAAAGGAAATGGAAGAAAAAAATAAATGAATATAAATTAATTATATTTTTTTAATATGATTATTTTTTTTTTTGATAATTAATTTTTATTATATATTTAAATAAAGATATATTTTTTATTATAAATAATCAATGATATCTGTAAAAAAATAAATTAAAATTAAAAAAATGGCAGAGAGAAAAAGAAGATCAAAATTGAAAATGAAAAGTTCAGAACAAGAGTTTGATAGGTTTTGGGATTCAATTATTTTTTATTTTTACGGAAATACAGGAACTGGAAAGACTACGTTGATACAAATTTTATTTGGTGATGATCTGTATGATAAAGAAGAGGGTGATTATTGGGATGATTATGAAGGTGAAGAGATTGTTTTCTTGGATAAATACCATAAGAAGATCAAATGGAAAGATTTAATGAATTTGATGAATGATAATAAATATATGGTAGAAACAGAAGAAGGAGAATTTGTACCTTTTCCTGCAAAATATATATTCATAACCAATAGAAAATCTCCAGAAGAAGCATACGAATTAGGTGAAGGTGATAGTGAAGGATTTGATAAATTTGAAGATCGTCTTGATTATATTGTTGAATTTACTGGTAAATGGCGTGATAATATTGAAAAAAGAAATATAGATATTAGATTTCATAAAGGTAGTGAAGGAAAATTTCGTAAGATGGAATGGAATATAAAATATAATAATAAAGAATACGAGAATGAAGAATTAATTACTATGGGAGAAAAATATATTAAAAATATCAAAGGAAGACATACTGTAAAAAATGGAAATGTTTATTGGAGACCAGAATTTTCAGAACATGTAAAAAAATATTTGGATGATTATCCAAGGTGTAAAGAATTATATGAATATATTGAAGATAAATATTCTAGAAGAAAAAATGGAAGAAAAACTATTATAGAAAGATCATCATTTAATAATGATTTTTCGAAACCTATGAGAAAAATAAATAAGAGAGATATTAAAAGAGTAAATAAAAAAGATGTTAAAGGAAGAATGTTAGAACGTGAAGGTAGTGTTTTGGAAATTGATGATAGAGATTTGTATTATTAATTAAGGATTTTTATTATTAATTAGATTTAAATATAAATAAATAAATATTTTTATTTTATTATTGTATTATTAATAAAATAGTTACAAAATATTCAGAAATACAAAGTGCTATATTTTATTATGATTCTGAGAATAAATGTATGGTTCTCGGTGATACATTTGAATATAAAATTGGATTATATTTAAAAAGAAATAGATTGAATCCACAAATAATTAAAAATTATGTAATTACTGATGGACGATTATTAATGAAAAGTAATAATAAGTCTTTACGATCTGGAAAAGTAGTTTTATTGGATAATGGTATTGTAGAAGGGTTAGAAATCATTAATACAGGAAAATATACTATATTTGGTGATCGTGGTATAGATATTTGGTGTAGATGGCAAGGAATACCTTTATTAGTACAATGTAAATTTCGTTCGGTTTGTGATGAATGTAAAATTAAAGAAAAAAAATGTAGTCATGGATATTGGAAAAAAGATTTAATTAAGGATGTTAAGAAATTTGATGAAAAATTATCAGAATGGAAAATGGATGTATTTGGTATATTTGTGATTAGTGAAGGAATATTGATAGATGAGGAAATTAATAATATGAAGTTTAATAATGTTTTAAAAGTTGTTAATTTTTGTGATGAATCAAAAAAGAAACAAAAGCTTGATAATTTTTTTATTGGATTAAAAAATGAGATAGATAGCTTAGGTAAACAATTATTGAATAAAAGACAAAACATGGATTGGAGCATAAGTCTTGAAGATAAAAAACGTGTTGAATTAGAAGTTTCATATAGGAGTGTAGAAGCCATGATTAATGATAAAATAATATTGAGTACAGATTTTTATTTCAAGAATCTAGAAAAAGTACTTTATTATATTAGACAAGCATATAATATCACGAGTTTAAATGATATTTGTGATCAATTAGATTATTTAAAAATTGTTTTATAAATTTATTAATAAAAAAAAATAATAATTATTTTAAATTACAAATAATAATGATATCATTTTTTAATTGAATTATAAATATTTTTATTATTAATTATTTCTTGAGCTTTTTCGTAACCACAATTTGCTGCGTATTCTAAGTATTGATATGCGTTATAAGGATTACTTTCATTTCCAAATTTTCCATTTAATAAAATGTCTCCATAATGATAACAACCTTCAGCATTTCTTTTATCTGCAGCTTTTTCAAATAAAGTTGTTATCAATAAATTAAATTCATCATTTTTATCTTCTTTATGTGTTTTTAATAAAAGAAGAGCATATTTAATTGTTGAATTGTGTATATCATTTAAAGAAGCTATTTGATAGTATTTTAAGGCTTTTTCATAATTAATTTCAAGATCAGCATATCCATTTTCATGATAGATTCCTAACCAATAAGATAATTTATATTTTTGAAAAATTTTTAAAGCTTCAATTCTGTTTTTATGATCATTTGTTTTATGTAAAGTGGTAGCGTTTTCGATTTCTTTTTTTTTTAATTTATCCATTTATTTGTGATGAAATGTTAAGTGTTTATCTATATTTATTATAATATTTAATTAATAATTATAAATATGATAAATTTGTAAAAAAAAATATATATTTATTATCAATGAATCAAAATCAAATATTTTCAAATGAAATATTCAATGAAATATTTCATTTTCTTTATGATATGAATGAGTCTTTGTTTAATTCTATATTGGTATCAAGAAGATGGGCTATAATTGGTATTCCGATACTCTGGCAATTACCTTTCATGAAATATAAAGAAATTGTAAATGAAGAGAAACGTGAAATTATGATAGAAGATCTCATTATTCAGATAAAGAAGAAATCAACTTTATTTGAATATTTCAAATATGTTAAAATGATTGATACTTGTTTAACAGAAAAATTTCAAATCAAGACTAGAGTAGAAATTATTATTTTGTCACTCAGATCATCTGATATTATTGAAAATATTTATATTAATTTACTGATTGGTATTTATGATATCTGGATTGTTGATTTTATAAGTGAATATCTCAAAAATCACAAGATCAAAATATTAAGAATAAGAAATATCATGTATATAGATAGATTGAAAAATATTAATAATGTGGAATATTCTAATTTTTTATATTATTAATATGATAAAATTTATAAATATCTAAGAACATGAGAATTTTAAATAAAGTAATTATAAGATGAATAATCAACAAATTTTTGATAAATTTAAGAATTTTAGAGAAATTATTGGTTTGAATAATATTTTTCGAACAAATGAATTTGATTTGATCGATGAAATAGATTTTCAAAAATTAACTAAAAAGTTAGGAAGTGATATTAAGGTTATAGATTTACGTGGAGATTCTTGTTTTGATAAATTTTCTGAGACAAGACAGAAATTGGCAACAGTTTCGGTTAATATGTTGATTCCAGAATTATATTTGTTGTATTATTATAATTCGAATATTTGGGAAAAAATATTATATCATTTTACGAGTTTTGAAAAAAAGTATTATTTGACAAATACTTTAGTTAGACGAGGAATTGTTGCTATGTATATGGATTTTTTAGAAGCGTGTAAATCAAGAATCTTGATTGTTTTTAAAATGTTATTAAGTAGTGAAGAGAATGTTATTATTATTAACTGTAAACATAGAAAAGACAGGACTGGTTTAATATGTATG